CCCCAAAACCCCAAAACCCCAAAACCCCAAAACCCCATTTAGGCAAAAAACAATTGTAATTTCATGTACGCACATATCAATATGGTGGGAATCTTAGGGCCAAAGCTAGCAAACAGAGCTAGACTTCTGGCCCAAGAGTCTTCTGGAAGATCTGAGCTGGCACCTGATGTCTTGGAAGTTATTGTAGAAATTAACCAGTCTTCTGATGCCAGGAGCACATGTCTCCTTTAGGATCTGCTCATCTTGGAAATCAGCAATAAGTTGAGTCTTGTTTGGTTTGAATTGGATCTCTCGAAATTTTGATAATTTGGAAGCTGACCTCAGTCCTTTTGCTGTTTTTGAGTCTAAAATAACAGGTTGAGAGAAACATAAGTCGGTTTGAATGTACTCCTTTTTCTTTAGGTATTAGAAATTTGAATAAAATGATGAATATATACTCAGGAATTTTTCGGAAAAGAAATGAAACAGTAAATACATAATATACTTACATTCTTCTAAATCACTTCTCATAGAATTTGATAGTCTCCTTTCGAAAGATCCAGCCTTACTAGCAGGAGAGGTGGGTTGCGATTGAGTCTTATTAAAAGCTTTCCTCATTCTTTCAATTTTAGCTATTTCCTTTCAATGAATATTAAAGCATCTATTGAGCTTGGAGCTATCATTCAGCATAAGTTTTGGCTGAACACTCCTTGTTATACGAGTAGTTCAGCTAGCTGTGGATTGTCTCGTATTTGGTTGACTAGACCTTTTGCCGTAGAATTTATTATCATTTGCTTTCTTCCTATCAACCTTGAAGAACTTCTTGACTCTATTAGCCCTCTTGGTTTCCTTCTGGTTCTTAAGAAGCTTGATGATGGAGTTTAGTTTGCTTCTTCTAAAAATGTGAGATTTAATATTACTTCTGATGGTCCTTATTAATGTAAAATTTGTCTGTAAATTTACTGAGAGCCATGCCAGTCTTGGTAGGGGTACTCTTACAGTCAGCTTTGAGTATATCCATAGACTTCTGGGTCTGATTTCCTCTTTTATGGGCTATGAATGGGGATGAAACATCATCTATTCTGATTGCAATGTTATTAGATGCCATCTTTGAGCTATTTATCATCACCTAAGACCTGAGGAGTGTTTTCAGTATTAAAATTATTGCTGAATTTGTATGTCTTTGTACCCTTCATTCCATTCTTTGATTTGCCAGTTTTTGGCGATTTAGCATCTGAAAATTAAGTTATTGAGATACTTTTCTTGAAGAATTCAAACTGATCCATTTGAAGCACTTCTGAATATCTTTTTCCAGTAGTAAAGGCATAGAGCAACCTCTGATGTTTATCCTTGTCTTCCTTGCGGAGCTCAAGGATATCTTTAAGATTATGCCCCTTGCCTGGCAAATTGTTGGTGATGTTCGCCTTTTGTGCTAGAGAATGTAAGTAGGATAGATAAATTATATTACCTATATGAAACCACTTTGAGATATCATTCTCCTTTTTCTCTGAGTATATTATTGGTGGATATGGGAATAAGGGCTCCCCGGGGTTTCTCTCTTTTTCAATATCGTCTTGAGTTCCTGAAGAATGTCTTCTTTCATAAAAATCTGCTCCAGGGGAAAATTCATGAGGGCTTTCTTCATCTTGGAAGAAACTATGGTATTCATAAAGAAATTCTTCAAATTATTGAACGTGAACATCAAATTTTGAGTTTAACACTTACAAATTAAGTTGTTTCAGAATAGGCTTATTAATTTCCCGAATTTCCTATATCAAAAATGTCATAAAAAGCAATTTCTTATTTTCAAAAATGCTGGTAACCCATGATAATGCATCAGAGGGCCTCCTTACGCTTATTATGACTCTTTTAACCTTCTCAGGCTTTGAATTAGTCTCTGGATGTAGGATCCCTTTTAAAGGAATCCGAGGATTTGAACTATTCATACTGATTTTCTTATTTTGAAGAATTCAATAAATAATTTTATTCTGGGGTTTTGGGGTTTTGGGGTTTTGGGGTTTTGGGG